AAAATCTATTTAAAAAATTTTTTCAAGGTGAGTGTTTTTGTGTTGTCATTTTCCTGGCTTCTTGAAATCATTAATAACATTAACTACATAGATTTATCTGAGTTATTTTAAGAAATCTTGTTTTCTGCAGAATATAAACCTCTTAGGCCAAAATATTAAATTAAAGTAAAGTTATATGCTATAAAATGGCAAATTTGTCATTATCGTGGCTGTCATTTTCCTGGCTTATGAATGCCAGAACAATGAAGTGTTACCAGAATTTTTTTTAACTGCTAATACTGTAAGGAGGGAAAGCAAATATTAACCTAATACCAAGTTTAGGCATTATTGTAATATGTTTGGATGTAATCAAAGTTATTTATTTATTTAATGATTGATCATTATACACAATTTTATTCTGCACATATCAGCAACAAAACAATTTTTATTCTTTCTACTGTGGATAAAAAGAACTAATTAAAGCAATTTATGGTCCATTTACCATAAAGGCTCAAATTGAGTTACTTACTATTAACTTAAAATGACTGTTTTTTAAACGTCTAGGCTAATATGTCATTTTCCTGGCATTCAAGATTTGGTGAATTTCTATTTTATTTTCTCGAGCAAATGTCAATAAACTACACTGCTGTCTGTAAGATATTAATAAGTGTAACTAAAGAAGTAAAAAAAAAAATTTTTCAGATTATTTTAGACTTTAAATTTGAAGAAATTGTTTGGTCTGAATTGTCATGTTCAAAAAGAATCACCCATATACATGGCCTTATATATACATATACGGCCTTGTACATATATTCTTTGAAGTCGGTGGATCGTAGTAATTGCTTAAAAACTTATTTATGTATGTTAAGTTTTATTTTTTTTCTTCAATTTTTATGTCTTTATTGATGTCCTTTTACTCTTACAGACGAAAAGCGAAGAAACATTTTCGCCGCTTTCGCTTATTATCAGAANTGAAGTTCATTTTGATAGATAACGGTTGATACTGTCGTTAACGTACTCCTTGCATTACACACCTTCGGACGTGAACTGAACACGCCTGTTTTGACAGTAGCGTCCACTTCAATCTGAACATACTCACTTCGGACAACACGTCTACCTCTCACTGAAACGCTTACTTCGACTTGAACATGTCTAGTTTGATGGATAAAACCCAATGAAACGTTGGCTTTCTAATTGTAAATGCGACATTATCCTCCTAGCGTTGTTGCTACTCAGTCTCGATCACACACAACGTGACGCTGTGCATAATGCTAATAGCAACAAAGGAGAGAACACGCACAATACCATGATACTAATACAGCTCTCATAAGTAGCACTCAAAATCTGGTTATCTTAATACAGCTCTCACGGCCTTTCATAAAACAGAAGGGAATCATACTGCAATACCTTTTCGTAGAATTCTATCCCAAGTAACATTCTGGTGGGGGAGTAATGCAGCATAGCTGCAACTACAGTTATTCAATAGTATATAACTGTGTTCCTCAAATTTTCATCACCACGATCCGGTCAAAGTTTGATAATTTTACCACGGCCTTATGAAAGAGGGAGAAGCTAATCCAGATATGTCTAATTAGTTTCAGTTCATAAAACAGTCGGTTCCTAGTAAACTTTCTTCCCCCCCACCCGAAAATATAAATGATAAAAGCACAATTGTTTCATTATCAGCATTTATATAAAATAAATGAAAGTCTTACGCACCGTAATGTATTCATGAATATAGTTATTTATGATCAGAACTGTGACCTCTTAGTATTAAATTCCAAAAAAAATGTTTAAATTATTTTCATCAGATCAGCTAACAAAATCTTAACTTTTTATTTTAATTCATTTATCTCAAATTTTGTTAAACGTATTAACCCATTCCTGCCCTAGTGTCTTCTTAAAAGACTGTAAATAAAGTGAAAAAATTTTAATTATTCGGATTTATTTTGCGTAAACAAAGTAGTTCTATCAACGAAAATATACTATTAATATAAATATTTTAATTTGGCTCTGTCATCATAAAAGTTGTAACATTTGTTTTAACGTTAGACTAAGCAATACAAATAAATTTACTACCACTTTTTTAAATCCAGTATTTTTCATACGTCGGTTACTTTTTGTGGACAAACTTAAAATTTTTAATTTTTAAGACACATTAAAATAAAATTTTTCTGAGAAACTTATTTCACTGAGACCGAGGGTCGAAAGGTCGGTCAAAAAAATTAAGGCAGTTAACTATTAAAGTACGTGGAAGTTTTTCTACGTTTGTAACTATAGTTTGTTCACCAGGAATTGGCTCTTGGCTCCATCTTCTCTGACGAAGAGTTCATTTCAACGCGGGAGTAAGAGGAGAAATGTTTCCGCGCTTGAAATTGAGACAACCCTTAATGAGCGCCAAACGTGAACGATTATTTTTCAATCACTTACTCCAGTTCATCATCTGCTATTCTACCTTTCGTTACTCTAGATAATTAAATATACTGTTGTAAAGTGTCTAAAAAAGGACAAACTAGTCACTCAAAAGAGAGAAATATCAAATTTGCGGAATATTTAATGTTAAAAAAATACGCATAAAGATTGCTAAATAAATATTTTTGTCATACGATCACTAAATAGCAACCTTGTTCAGGATTGTTCTCATCCTTATCCCATAAGTAGCGAAATAGTATCGACGGATACCACGTGATGAAGGTAGAGCCAAGTGCCAACTCCTATACAGCTTCCATTTTGCATTGAAAAAACGGTAATTGTGATTTTAGAAGTAAAAATACTAAATTTAAAAGTTGTGACAATTTTATTTATTAGAATCTCTTCGTTTGAGAGCTTGTACAACATTGAGGCTGAACATCTTTCGTGTTTACGAACGCTTTATTTTTTTTAGTGTGCCTTTTCGTATGACAGCTAAGCACTCTTAAGATTTAAGAAATAAACCGAAAGCTTTTAAAGACCAACCTGTTTTTGAAATAATCCTTTTAATGTATTTTAAGAGCTCGATAAAGAGTGCACTTTCAAAGGTTTCATTTGTAATTAATTATTTTACTTCATATTTTTTATTTTATTTTCCCCTTCATATTTTAAAGCTAAGCTAGAAAAAGTTAATAAATAAATATGAGTCTCATTCGCTTTGTCAAAATGAAGGCAAAACTTATCCTGTTTTTCGCTGAGGAGACGGTTATATACCTTCTTGTTTAGTAAAACAAAAAAGTATATATAAAGTATACCATTAAAAAAGTGAAAAAGTGTGCCTTCATTATTAAAAGTTTACAAAAAGCACACTTTTATTACATGGTATACCTTATTATACGGTATATACCTGTATATATGGATAAATACTTTTAAATTTTATTTATACTATGAGGATGTTTTCTAGACTAAGCACAAGATTTTGCCTTTTTTTTTAAAAGAGTGGCAGTGACATAATTTCGATTGAATTAGAACTATATGTTTCATTCTGGTGAAAACGACTTTCTTGCAAATGGCTTTAAATATTAGGAATAATTTTCTGATAGAATAAGTGTGATTTTTTATCCTTTTGAGTTCGTTGAAAGATATGTTGAAGTAGTATTTACAATGAATTTATTTTTCAAAATAATTATAGATTAAATGTGTCTTAAGCGGATATCACTGGAGAGTAAAATAACAGCAACTATTAGCGGAACCTCAACTCTAAAGGCAATTTCGCATTTCGGAGTTGTCGATAGGGTTGCTTAATTGCCAAAACGTTTGCTTGTAACGGGTTACTATTTTTTGTCCTTTATCTTCACTTTTATATAAAATTTTGTTTCTTCATGTGATACTATTATCTCATTCTTTTTCAATTTCTTTTTTTAAAAGGAGGAAAATGAAATCACAGACGCTCTAGAATATTGATAGATTCCGTTTAATTTCGTGCATTTTAAAAGTCTTTATTCAGCTACAAATAAAAATTCTGAACACTTCACTTCCACATTAGTGAAGCACCATAGTATAAAAAGAATTATGATATCTGGCTCATAATATGAAAATGATATTGAGATATAAATGAATTCCATTTTGCATCTCTAAAAGGATAAAGGGGTAAAAAGGGGATAAAATTAAATACTATCTAGTACTTTTACGATTTTTTTACATTGAATCGAGTGACTATAGAAGTTATTTATGTTTTATTTATAAAAGCTTATTTATGCATATTTACGTATCTAGCATTACTAGCTAGGCAAGTGAAGTATCGTATACGCTAAATAAAATAAAACCAAGCTGTCTGATTTAATACTTTAGCAATTCAAAAATTTATAAAAGTTTCTTGTGTAAAAAGAACAATTTTTTTACTTTGGCTTATACTACTTTATGCCACTGACATTGCTATCTAGACAAGTTAAGCTTTTCTACCAATTAAATTTTTTAAGCTTAATCCCATAAAATAGTCCTTTGAAATAATTGTTTAGAAGAAATGAGGATGTAATGTATGAAATATACAATTTTTGATTTACCTTTTAGTCATAAAATATTTATAACATTAGAACCATTAGATCTATATAATCAATTCCAATTTTTTTTTAAATTTTGCCCAAAAAATACATAATAAATAATGTTTGACTTGTCTATACAATAATGTGCCAGAATTTTATTATCATAAATTTTAATGTCATACTTTGCATTAACTGAAAATATTATCATGAATATCACTTTCATGAAATACCAATTTTTTTATAAAAATACAAGAAGATTTTCAATGTCATACTCGTAATTTATTATTGTAAAATTTAAAATATTCATTATTTATATGAGGTAATTCATATAAATTTACAAGATTTAATTTAGGACAAATTTGTTGTATTTCGAATTTACGCACTAAATAACAACTAAATAATAACTTATTAATAACAAGACTTATTAATAACAAGAAAAAAAAACAATATTTTATTAATAGCATACTTTTTACGTTCCCAGTTATTTTTGCTATAGGCTCTTTAAACGTGTTTTGCATTTTAAATAATACAAGAATCAATTTAAAAAATGAAACATTTAATATAAATACTTAGAACTTTATTCATTTACATTTGCAATTTTTTTTTCAATTTCCATCATAAAAGCAATATTACAACTCTTTTTTTCTACGCCAGACAAACCTTACATGGTTCCACAAAATATCTGAAATAAAATAAAGAAAGAACTATTATGATAAAATTTTACCCACATATCATTAGAATGAGGGAAATTATAAATATTATCAATTCGAAATCAGTTAAGCTCTCAGGTATCCCTTAAAAACTTATATTAAGTTTGATAGATATTTTGATTATAGTTCAAAGATTATTCCATAAACTAATGAAGGAAGGGAGGTATATTTGGTTTTATACTTTTTATGTTTGGACTGAAATTTCTTTTAAAAAATAAACGGTATTTATAAATGAAGACTATTGAAAAGGAAAGTATATTTAAAATTAGTAAGGTAATCTTACATACTAACTGCCAATGTAGAAAAGTAAAGTATCAATAGATAAATGTAAAGTGTAAATAAAAAGTAAAATCTTAATAGTTAACTTTGAATAATAAGAAAAAAACATTATTCAAATTTGTTTTATTAGTATGTTGTAACAATTATTTATTAGCTTTAAACTAATAACATTAAAACTTATTATTATAATTTGTTCCAATCAAAAACTTTCATTACTTTTGATAGAATTAATTTCTAAATTAATACAGATGAATTTTTCTGGTATTTCACATTAAGATCTTCGCCAAACAACTCGCCAAACTTTGTTGCATTATTATTTTAACATATAAAACATAAGAGATTGCTTTTCTTAAATTTAAATTTTAATCTTTATTTCTGCTGATTAAAAAAACATGTGTTCTATTGTTTGCAATATTTTTTTAATTCGTGATATAATTTTATTTCCCTCTAAGAATTCTTTGTTTGAATCGCTTAGAAAGTTCAGAAAACATGTTTGGTAAACATTTACCTTGTCCCCCACAAAGTTACTCTATTTTACGATAATTATTGAGAAGTTGTTTTTGAAAAAGGTAGTGAATATATTATATAAAAATAATTTTTAAAATTAAAAATTCCCCACTTCAAACTGCTCTATATTCCACAATCCCTTTCCTTTTTATTTTCTTTATCTGTTTCTACATTCATATTCTCTTTGCTTTGGTGTATTTTGATTAGCATACTATTTTTTTTTATAATTATTCAAACTTGACATACATTTATCTATAGATTACTTTACTTTTCTGTAATGGTAGCAAGTATATAAGTTTACCTTACTAATTTATCAATATAGTTTCATTTTCAATAGAACGAAAAATGTTTCACAAATAAGAAATTTTGTTGCATTATTATGACGTATAAAATATAAAGATTGAATTTCTTTATTGTTAAATTTTAATATTTCTTTTTAATTTTTATATGTGTTGAATGTAAAAGCATGTGTTTGATTATTTGAAAAAGTTAACATTTTGTCATTTGTGAAACAGTTGTTTTTTTTTCCTACGTATTACTTTAATTTTAGAAAAGCTTATTTCAAAACAGGTTAGAAAACTCAGAAAACATGTGTGGCAAATATTTACCTTATCTCTCACAAAGTTACCCCATTTTTCAGTAATTTTTAAAAATACTAATTCTCAATACCCCTATCTGTTTCTACATTCATCCCCTCTTTTATTTGGTGTATGATGATTTGCATAATATTTTGTTCATTATTATTCAAAGTTAACTATTGATTCCTTAATTTTTATTTATACTTTACATTTATCTATTGATCCTTTACTTTTCTACAATGTAAGTTTAAATTACTAATTTTTCAATACAGTTATATTTTCTAGTCTACATTTACATATACCATTTACTTTTTAAAAGAAATTTCTGTCCAAACATAAAAACTACAAAACCAATTATACCTCCCATCTTTCATTAGTATCTTTGAACTATAAATCAAAATATTTATCAAACTTAAAATAAGTTTCTGAGGGATACCTGAAGGTTTAACTGATTTCAAATTAATGGTATTTAATTTCCTTTACTTTAATAATGTGTCGGTAAAATTTTACCATGATAGTAATTTCTTTTACTTTAGATATTTTGAGGAACCCTGTAAAGTTTGTCTGGTGTACGAGGTGAGAGATGTAATATTGTTTTTATGATTGAAACTGAAAAACAATAATTCAAAATTGAAAATAAATACACTTGATAGTAACTGTTTCATTTTTTAAACTGATTCTTGTTTTATATAAAATGTAAAATACGCTTAAAGCCAATGAGAAAAATAATTGGGTATATAAAACATATTTCTCTTAATACAATATATTTTTTTCCAGTTATTAATGAATTTAAATTTATATAGTACACGTTACAATAAATTTGCCCTAAAATATATCCTGTAATTTTCAATTAAATCATCTTATACTAATAATTAATGTTTTAAATTTTACAATAAAAAGTTGTAAGCATGAGAACCAATGAAAACCAATCCTTTTTTATTTAATTTTTTTTTTAAAAATTGCTCTTTTGTAAATGTGATATTCTTGATAATAATCAAAGTTAATGCAATGTAAATGAATTCTATTACAATTACATCACAATGAAAAGAAGAGTCATTTTTGTATAGTCAAGTCCAGCATTATATATTATGTGTTTTTTAGACAAAATTAGAATTGATTTGATAAATCTGATAGTTTCAATGCTATAAATACTTTATGAGTAAAACGTAAGTCAAAAATTTAATATTTCATGCATTAAACCTTCATTTCTTCTAAAAAATTATATCAAAGGACTATTTTACAGGATTAAGAGTAAAAAATTAAATTTGAAGTAGCGCCTCACTTGTCTAGATAGCAATGTCCGTTGCATAAAGTGGTGCAAGTTAAAGTCGAAGAATTGTACTTTCTACGCATAAAACCTTAATGAATTTTCGAACTCCTAAACTATTAAATCAGACAACTTTGTTTTATTCTTATTCGATTCTTAGCGTAATGATATGCATAGCTAACGAATCGTATTTGCCTAATTAGCTATGTTAGATACGCAAATAGGTATAAATAAAAAACTGTACTTTTATACATAAAAAATAACTAACTTCAATGATATTAGTCACTTCGTTCAACGTAAAAAAAATCGCAAAAATACTAAATAGTATTTAAGTCTATCTCATTTTTATCCCTTTAGCTTTTTAGAAATCCAACATGAAATACATTGTTAATATCAATTGCATATTATGAGCTAGAAGTCATAATTCTTTTTAAACTATGCTGCTCCACTATCGTAAAAGTGAAGCGTTCAGAATTTTTATTTGCAGCTGAATAAATAATTTTAGAATGCGTAAAATTAAACGGATATCAATTCAGCGTCGCTTAAAACCTCTTTTTCAAGCTCTTAAAATATATTAAAATGGATTATTTGAAAAAGAAGTTGGTCTTTGAAAGCATTGGGTTTATTTCTAAAATCCTAAAAGTGCTTAGATGACATAAGGAAAGACGCACTAAAAAATAAAGCGTTCGTAAACGGGAAAAATGTTAAGGCTCAATGTTGGACAGTCTCTCAAACAAAGATATTCTAATAAATAAAATCGACACTACTCCTAAATTTAATATTTTTACTCCTAAAATTACAATTACCATTTTTGTTTATTTAATTCAATTTAGAAGCTGGGAAATTTCATGAAAAAGGGGAAAGTATTGGAAAATTCAAATTAGAATAATGCTATTATTTTGGATGTTTTCTGAATTAGAAAGGTTTGAAGTTTGATAATTTATAATAATTCTTATTGATAATTTAGTTTTTTAGTGTTGGCAACTCATTGAACATTGGCATTTGCTTGTTCTGATTTGGGTGAAGAACATGGTCAGATATTTAAAAAATCAATAAGTTAACATTATCTTCCTTAAAAAATGTTCCAAAGAATAAATATTATTTACTACACTTAATAGAAATATTGTGCAGTGTTAAAAAAGTTTTTGTTCTTAAATTCACTTAATTATACAAATTTTAATTAAACATTAATGCATGTAACGTAAGTTACCAAAAACTAGGAAAAGTTTTTATGTGTAAAAATGAACAAGTGATACAAAAGTAAAAATTATATTTTTTCTTTCTTACAGGATAACACTAAATAAGCAGTAATAGTTTTGTTTTCAAATATTACTTATTTATTGTTTTGTGCACTATTCAATATGCGTAACGTAAGTTACTGACCTGCATGTAATAATAGTTGTCATAAACTTACGTAAATATTTGCAATAATGATATACACGGACTTAATTAAATAGTTAAAAACGACTTTTTTATTATGGTGAAATAGAAAAATTTACGACTCAAGAAAACTGGGTTGTTTAATTACAACGCTTAGTATGATGATAGTATTCGTAAGATATTATTTGCAAGCTAGATATAGTTTTTTTTCAACTTCTGGATGGTTTTCAAAATTACACAGTTACGGAGTTAAACATCAGTAGTTGTAAACTCAAAAGTAGGGTCGGCTGTTCAACGACGGATATAAAAAAAAAATGCATGTTAAACTTTTTCTCTGGCCTGATCACAGAGACTTTAAAGCATTTGACACTAAACCTCTTAGAACAATTGTGAGGCAAGTTAGAACCACGCTTATGGACCAGAGGGAACCGAGTGTCCGAAATCTACACTTGAGTTGGCTAGATTCTTGCTTTAAAAATGGACACAAATGGTAATTGCATCAAAAAGTGTGTCCAGTAGGGTTTCTAAAGCAACTGCAGAACATGAAAACCCTATGAAGGAGAAGGGACTCAAGATTTCTCCTTTTTCTTCTTCCGAAACTATTGTGACTATAAATTCCAAATTGCAGCTACCCATCCCTCCCCTTCATATTGAAAGTCAAGAATACAAGTCCGTATTCAAAGTTATGCTTATTCAGAGAAAATATTGACTACACAAATATTTTAGCATATATAATTAATCTCCCGATTTTAATATATTAATTGCACTATTAAGTTATTACTCGTTTTTAATTACTCGAAATATTAAGATTGCTTCTTGACGTGTGAAAATTTAATCAGTTGATAAAAGTCATCACGGATTTTTCCTTGTTTTATTTCGCATACATTGTGCCAATCTATAAAGGTGTTTAGTGTCCGAAATTAGCTTAAAAAGAAACTAAAACTAGAAGTGAGAGTGACAGCAATAGAAATGAAGCATGCCTCAATATTTCAAATTTTATGTGTTTTTGAGAGATTTAAGTGGTTGTTAAAAAAAGTTCCCAGGTCTTGCTTATTTTTCTCTCGTGCGATATCCGTTTAAGACCCTTTTAATTTATAATTACTTAGAAAAAGTAAAGTCATTGCACAACAAAACTACCGAATTTAAAAAAATTCATTGTAAATTTATTTGTACCGCTCACTTTAACGTTAAAATAAATGCTACAACTTTCATGATTATAGAGCCAAATATAAATATTCACATTATTAATGCAGGTTGAGTAGCCAAATTTTTCAACAAAAATTAAGCACTTTAAGAAAATATCATAATTAGGATAGGCGCACTAATAATTTTTCTCCTTCATATTGTTGAAAGTTTTTTATACTTATGTTAACAAAATGCTTTTAAGGTAATTTTGGAAGTTACATGATCATGATAAAATAACTAGTTTCTGACAAGGAATTCTTTTCTTGATTACATTGGCCACTATAAAAACAATTTACGCACCATTTTAAATATATTCAATATTGAGAGGACCATTCTATTTTTCAAATTAATAATTATTTTACACAATTATGTAAAAAAATTAATTATTCAAAATTAGGATTAATTTATCTATTAAAAAGGTTATCAAGTGTATTTCCTTTGATTTAAATAAAAGTTATTTCACTGTCTTACCTGCAAGTAGGGAAAAAAATTAATAATGTAATAATGATAAAAAGAAAGGTCACGTACCGTTTCTTTCCGTTCTTCGAAGCAAGTCATGTCACCCAGTCATTGATTGAGCTCTAATTCTCCGGATAAATAACAAACGGAATATTCGTCAGGGCAGTCGGCTGGGCAACCAAGATGCAGGTCTTCCTGTTCGGTAAAATATAATAGCCTGACTGAGTGATAGTAAACCATAGGTATTGGACAAATCTGAATATTTGCCTTCGTTGGTGTAACACATGACACAGAGCTGCTTGACATTTTCTAGCCTCCATTGTTCCGTCTTCAGCTGCAGGAGGGTTCAGTTATAATTATTCCTGCAAAACACATTAGGGGAGCAAGGGGCAGAAAACAGCATCATTTGACAACTTTTAGACACGATGCGGTAATTGCATAAACATTGATCATGATGCCCTTAAGTCGAAATCATGACATCAGCTTCATCCAAAACGAAAATTCCCAGCTTCTTCAAATCGAAAAATCGCTTTCCCCCAGTCCAATGAAACACTTTTACAGGCGTTCCGATCACAAAATGCTCCATCATTGTCGAACCTCTTGGCATGTTCTAGCCTATAACAGCCATTCGGAATTCAATCCCTTCGCAAAATTGCGCCATTGTTTTTCGCCACCTCGCCAATCAACAGGGCAAACTAATAAGTAGGTGCTAATATCAAAACCTAGTCGTAATGTAACTCCGAATGTGTTCTTGCTAAACTAGACAAAACGAAAGCTGTCGTTTTACCAGTGTCACTCTGCGATCGTGCTATTACATTGACCGGAGAACCCGCTACTAAAGTTGGAAGAGTTGTTTTTTTACTCTTGGAAGTAGCATTAAAGCCCATCGCATGTTACTTTTTACAGATTTTCTGGAAGATGGAGGTGTTCGAAAGATTCCACCGAATACAGAGGAGAGTCACCGTTCTTTCGCTAAACTTCAACTCAATGGGGAGGAAACCAATAGTTGGGTCCTTAGAATCTTTCTCGTAATGGATATTTCAGCCGCGGACAAACAAATTTCCGCATCATCATTCGGTAGTATTTGCATCGACTTTAACATCGTTTTTGTTTGCGTCTGTTAGAGAAGGTGTATCGAAAATAGGCTTCTTAATCTCATGCTGTTTTGTGTCTGCAGACTTCTCTAGAGATGGTGATCGTGATAGTGGAGAGCTGCCTACTTCCCATGGTCTTAAAACAGGCTTAGAAGAAAGTCTGAAATAATCTAAAAGCTGACGCAAGTCTGTCACTTTATCTGTCATATCTAAAATTAAAAAAAAATGCTTTATAAGAAAAATAAAGTAATTGCAAAAATTACTTAAATAAAATAGTTGTTAAATTTAAAGCACAACAATATTTTCTGTTATATATATATAGTAACTCGTACCTTACATGCTATTTGATATTCATAATCGTTAACTTGTCAGACGAAAATCAGTCTATACAGTCTTTAATTAAATTTTGAATAAAAATGACTGTACTTTCTCTTACCCAAAATATCACGGTAATATTAACAAAAATTAAAAAATATTTCTTTTAAAATTACATTCGAAAAACTTTTTTTTTCTTTCACACCATTAGCTTATGCCTAAATAGCAGTACACATGAAAAGGAGGGAAATTTTTTTCAATTGCAAATTGTTGTCAAAGGACGCAATTTAACTTTGTGAAAAGCAATTTTACTGTTGAGAACAGTGCATATGATGGAAAACAAATTTAAAAGTAATTAAATGCAGTAGTGTTCTCCCTGAATATTTTCAAAAGGGCGGGCTATTCTTTAAACCCTATAAATCAAGAGACGATAAAGAAGACCTAAAGAGACGATAGAGAAGTCCTGGTTCATTCTTTACTCAAAGCTGAAGCTACGATTTCCTACCTCATGACGTTACGCCGCACACAGATCTCGAAAATCACAACTAAAGGATATGAAAACTTTGCTGTTTTTACTTTCTGTAAGAAATGAGTTGAATGTTCGACACTTTTCAGCTAATAGCTGTCAAACTTTACACTGCTAAATTATTTCTACTCAAAAATATAATATTCATACATTTTCTTATAGTATTAAAAATTAAGATTTTAAAGTTAGAAAAATTTCTCAATGTTTGTCATCATGGTTTAATTATTGTTTTCTAATTTTAGTTTTTTACTTTTAAAGTTAAATAAAAGAGCATATAAGAACACTTTTATAGTAACATATTGTTCGATGACAATTAAATGGTATGTCTAATTTTAATATATTTTCATATATTTACACATTAAAACACAAAAGCCTTAAATGATAATTATAAAAAAAAATCTTTGAGCATATAATAATGAGAATATTACTCATAACTATTTAAAATTAATGCGTTATAATTAAAAGGCATAAATATTTTGAATAATAACATTAAAAAATATATTCATTGTGAAATTGAAATTTTTTTGATCATTAATAATTTTTATTTCTGAAGTTCAGGATTTCATTTTCTGTTTAAAGTAACGAGACTGTATAGATTTCAATGGTAAAATTCTAGTAAAAGTTCTTAAACGTCTAAGCGAAAAACATAATGTTTCTTTTTCACAGTAGGATAAATTCTTATTTTATAATTCAATTGATGTCATTACATAATTACATTATATATCTATCACAAAGAACTTTTATAATTATATATACTTTTATATTTATATAAAAGTATATTATATATTATATATAATGATATATATATATATAATCCGAACTTTTATAATATATTGTATGTACTAGAAAATCAATTTGTTAAAATCTATTAGCTAGAAAAGAAAAAAATAACTATATAGAATTGCACTCTCGATTTTTCGAGTTTTTCCGGGAATTATTTTTCCAATGGCTGTGGACTAAATTAGAAATTTTCCAAACCAATAGACTTCTTTCAATACTTTAGTAAAAGCCATTTTTCTATTTGAACTTTATACATCTTTTTGGATATTCCCTGTTATTGGAAGAAGTATTGAGAAGAAAAAGACGTTTTAGGCATTGAAATATTGTTTTGGGAGTTATTTTATTATTTCAAGCATGATTGCCAATAAGTGGTGCTGTTGTTTGAAAACGAAAAACGAGAAAGATAATTGTGTCCCGTATTATTTGGAGGTGATAGAAATATTTTGAGATCAACAGTAATTTTTATTTAACCGAAATTAAATTTTTTTTAAAACTTTTAAAATGTATTGTTATTTCCGACTGCATGATATATTTAGACACAGACGCAGGCTTGATCTGCAACATTTTTCTAGTGCCACCCATAGGACACAATCGATGCTATAGTTTTTGGAGAGAACCACCTGGCTGCTGAGGAAGAAGAGAAGGTCACTCTAAAAACATTTCTGCTTATGTGAATTTGTTCTGCATTTAAACTGCAGAAGATTTATGATGCTTATTTGGTTGGTGTAGAGTCTAAACTTTCATTTTCACTATGCCTGATAATAATGCTAAAGAAAAATTTTGTTTCTATTTTAATAAAAATTTTTAATGTTTTGTTTTATCAAAAAAAAATCGAGCATGATAAATTGTTATTCTTATCAGAAAAGGAATTTAGAACTAACTGCTATTGTTAGAAAGCTTATGAAGAAAATTTTTTTAACTCCATATTGGGTTCAATATATTTACATAACACTTGTATGTAATTGCCTCTGAAAAAATATTATGAGATTGGAATACAATTTAGCTCAAATACGGCTTAAAACTTTACTTTCTAATTATCTTTAAATATTGATTATAAAATAACAAAACTATTTTTTGGAAAATATTTTTTTAATCTATTTATGCTTATAATGTTTTACTTATACATTTTGGCTCTATAATCTTTTTACCAACAATATTAATTTTACGTTATTGCAGATGAAAAAAAATATTCGACTAGAATTTAAAATAAGTAACAGGTCTTCCCGTGGTCCGGCAAAAATATACAGTTAGTCGCAAACTAGTCAATAACATAAATGAAAAACTACTTCAATTAGCAGTCACATAAATTTAAGTAGGATGCAGTTATGTAGTCGAATCATTATGAGGAACAGCATTTTATAACTTTCTAAAAAGAAACAATTCATTTCATGATATAAGCTTTGCTACCATTTTGATTATGTCGGTGAGACACTAAGAACCATTAGATAATTCATCTTGCAACTTAACTTTTTAATTATTATTTATTTTTTAAATGAAGCTATACTTGTTATGCCTTACACGTCCCTTATGGTTCGGCATTTCTTTTGCAGTCATTTTTAGATAATATAGTTCGAGAAACAATATTATTTGATTTAGAGTTTAAAATAATTTAAATCTGACTTAATTTCTATTTATCTTGCAAGGTCTAATATTTTGTATTATTAGAGTGCACGAAGACTATTAGTAATTCTTATGGAATTTGTCTAAAAGTTGATGTCTTTGAAATATAAATAGAAATAAATCATAATAAAACGATTATCGCAAAATGAAATCGAACGAGGTTTTTTAAAAAACACCATTAATAACTTGCATAAAATTTAAAAAAATAGAATAAAAAGTTGGGCTAAGACACATTTAGTTTATAATTATTTTGAAAAGATAAAATCACTGTAAATATTACTTCAACAAATTTGTTTTTTAACGAATGGAAAAGAATAAAAAAAATCACTCTTAATCTAAAAGAAAATTATTCCTAATATTTAACGCCATTTGTAAGAAACTCATATTCACTATTATAAAACATAGTCCAATTTCAATAGAAATTATTTCACTGCTTTTCTCCAAAAAAAGGAGCAAAATTTAAGGCTTACTTCAGAAAATATTCTCATAATATAAGTAAAGTATATGTCCGTATACAAAGGTATATAACCTTCTCCTCAGCAAGAAACAGGATAAGTTTTGCCTTCATTTTGACAAAGCAAATGAGACTCATATTTATTTATGAATTTTTTATAGCTTAGCTTTTAAAAATTATGAGGGAAATGAATTTAAAAAAGGTGAATTAAAATAATTATTTAATTATAAATGAAAACTTTGAAAACATTCTTTTTCAAGCCCTTAAAATATATTAAATTGATTATTTCAAAACCAAGTTCGTCTTTAAAAACAATGGGTTTATTTCTTATATCTTAAAAGTGTTTAGCTGACTTCTGAAAAGGCACATTACAAAAATAAAGCGTTCGTGAAAGCGAAAGTAGTTTAGTCTCAATTTTGGACAGGCTCTCCAAAGAAGAGACTCTTAAAAATAAAACTGTCACTACTTCTAAATTTAATATTTTTACTTTTAAAATCTCAGTTGCTATTTTTTTTAATTTCATACAATTTAGAAGGTGTATAAAAGCGAAACGTGTTTTTTTTAAATTTTATGTGTTTTTGAGAGATTAAGTGGCTGTTTCAAAAATTTCCAGGTCTTCCTAAGGCCNAATGACATATATATATAATCCGAACTTTTATAATATGTTGTATGTACTTGAAAATCAATTTGTTAAAATCTATTAGCTAGAAAAGAAAAAAATAACTATATAGAATTGCACTCTCGATTTTTCGAGTTTTTCCGGGAATTATTTTTCCAATGGCTGTGGACTAAATTAGAAATTTTCCAAACCAATAGACTTCTTTCAATACTTTAGTAAAAGCCATTTTTCTATTTGAACTTTATACATCTTTTTGGATATTCCCTGTTATTGGAAGAAGTATTGAGAAGAAAAAGACGTTTTAGGCATTGAAATATTGTTTTGGGAGTTATTTTATTATTTCAAGCATGATTGCCAATAAGTGGTGCTGTTGTTTGAAAACGAAAAACGAGAAAGATAATTGTGTCCCGTATTATTTGGAGGTGATAGAAATATTTTGAGATCAACAGTAATTTTTATTTAACCGAAATTAAATTCTTTTTTTTTTAAACTTCTAAAATGTATTGTTATTTCCGACTGCATGATATATTTAGACACAGACGCAGGCTTGACCTGCAACATTTTCCTAGTGCCCCCCATTGGCAACAATCGATGCAATACTAGATCTATACTATCGATGCTATACTTTGGAGAGAACCACCTGGCTGCTGAGGAAGAAGAGAAGGTCACTCCAAAAACATTTCTGCATATGTGAATTTGTTCTGCATTTAAACTGCAGAAGATTTATGATGTTTATTTGGTTGGCGTAGAGTCTAAATTTTCATTTTCACTATGCCTGTTAATAATGCTAAAGAAAAATTTTGTTTCTATTTTAATAAAATTTTTTAATGTTTTGTTTTATCAGAAAAAAAATCGAGCATGATAAATTGTTATTCTTATCAGAAAAGCAATTTAG